AAAGCTATTAGCTGCCTTTTGTGACAGACAGAATGAAATCAATACAACCATAAAAATAGTGCAAGCAGTACCCGTTTCCTCATTGACAGGACAGAATGTATATTAATCATTGCTCTGTTCTTTCGATCCAGTCACTCGCCTGTTTCTAGACTAACTGTGTGCCCATGGCCCAGTCCTGAGCTGGTACCATGACAGACAGGCTGTATCACAATGCTGTACATGTACATGAACAACAGCAGTAGAAACAGGGACAGCTAAACACACAGCATAGCTGACTCACTGACTACCACAAATACTTTTGATGTCTCACTAAATAGCTGAGCACTGGGCTCAAGGCTGTCTAATGGTGTAACCAGTGTCTGTCTACCTGTGTAACCAATGTCTGTCTAGCCTGTGCCTGTCTACCTGTGTAACCAGTGTCTGTCTGTCTATCCTGTGCCTGTTTACCTGTGTAACCAATGTCTGTCTATCCTGTGCCTCTCTACCTGTGTAACCAGTGTCTGTCTATCCTATGCCTGTTTACCCGTGTGACCAGTGTCTGTCTGTCTAACCTTCTGTGTGTTTGTACACAGGACCTGGACCCCCAGTGGTACGTGGCTCAGATTACCCGGCAAGAGGCAGAGGCCTGTCTGAGGAGAGTCAACCAGGTGAAATCTCCTCCCTGTCCTGCACACTCTACAGGACACAGTTCACATTTCAGCACTGCACTCAACTATCCATCGATCTGTATTTAGTGACCTCTCTCTCGCTGCTTCAGGACGGCACGTACCTAGTGCGGGACAGCTCAAAGCGCTCCCCCTCTCAGCCCTATGTGCTCATGGTCCTGTACCAGAACAAGGTCTTCAACATCCAGATCCGCTACCATCGCGAGGCGGACGTCTTCCTCCTGGGCACTGGACTGAAGGGCAAGGAGGTAGGGACAGACCCCGAGACTGTGACACTGGACACACTGGACAGGGACAGACACCGAGACTGTGACACTCAGTTGCACTGTTCTCTACAGTACTGAGAACTGTCACCTGTTCACACATCTGTCTGCTCCCACAGAACTTCACATCAGTGAGCGAGATCATCCAGCACCACCAGCAGACCCCTCTGCTCCTGATCGACGGGAAAGACCGCGGCTCGGGGCACCAGAGACAGTGCCTGCTGACATACCCGGCTGGGTACTGATCCGCTGGCCGCCCCAGGAGCATGCTGGCGTCGGGACACATCACACTTGTGCTGCTCCGTGCTCACCATCATCTCAAAGCCCTGCAGTGACACTGCGTGATTCGCTGTAGCAGAGGAACGGTTCGACACGAGGATGCCGTAGTGTTTCACACGTTACAAACTCAAACAGATTCTTATGAGATGCCTTAATATGTGCTTGAGTAGCAGGCTGCCGGGCTCTGTTCACTTCACCTGTCAGATCCATGTCTCCAGCACACAGCTAATCCTGTCAGCACCAGTCCGCCTTTCTGTGCCGAGTGTGAAAACTGCGAAAGGGTGTTCAACATGCGCTGTAAGAGCTTTTCTAGTGAAGTTATAGTGTATTCCCACTTTCCAAATAATCCTGTATCCTGCCTTTTTTTTTAATTTTATTTAATTCATTTTACAAAAAAATAAAAATAACTGTGGTTTCACACTCACCGTGTTCCTCTGAGTCAGTTTCGGGGCCTGCTGTCTTGTTTTGATCTTCGGGACAAGGCAGGCAATAAGGTGGCCCGGAGGCCAGGAACTCAACCACCTAGTGGAAAAGTACAGCTCCCCAGGAAACTAAAATCAGTGTTCACGCCAAACAGGGTATGATTTCCAAATCCCATGACCCTTTCCACACCCACCTCTGTCAGACCCCTGCAGATGCACAGGGCATCATGACCATTAGGAGTATGGAGTTGTTGGTGTGTACTCTGATTTAGGCTAGGTGTTATGTCAGTTTATTCCAGCAGGGCCCTGAACATAACTTTCCATTGATTGTTTATACCGATACAAAATAAACGTTATAGCCCCCGTTGTTTTACTGTGTAAAAAAAAAACACTGGAGAAAACAGGTCAAATTCAAAGAAAACATTGAATCCAGTTACAAAAGCATAAGCATTGAAAAAACATTCAGAATCTTTTATTTTCAACAGATGCCCCACACGGGCGGGTCTGCACAGAGTGCTGTGTCTCCGGGTGGCAGTGGGCTGTGCTGGAGTCTGTCCTCACTCCTCCGGCTGGGGGGCTGCCTTTGCTGGTCCCACCCCCTCCTTGCCCGTCCACAGCATCTCTGTCTGGTCAGGGTGTCCAAAGCACACCGTCAGGTTGCACTGCAGCAGCTGGGTCTTCACTGGAAATGGGCAGTTTATTAACAGAACAGACCTGAAAGCTGTCTGAGTACAACACGCTGTCAGTGCCAGGGGCCTGAAGGTATCTGGAAAGTGAGTGCCAGTCAGTCTGTACAGTCTTTACAGTACAATACCTAGGAACTAATGAGTTCCTGGCTCTCAGCACAAGAGAACATGAACATCAGAACATGCGAGCCAAGAACTCATTTTGTGCTTACTAACAGAGAGAGCCGGTGAAGCTGTGCTTTCTGTATTGCCTCGGGTGAATGTCTAGGACATTAAAGATGGCCTCCGGTGTACAGTGTTTGCACTCATCCTGTCCCGGGCCTGCATATACCCACAGACAGACCATCCATTCTGGATAGCAGCTGTGCTATTTGTGAAAGAAGGCCAGATTTACAACCATACTCTGGCTGCTAAAAAACAGAACTGAGAAGCAAAAACTTAGATACAGCCAATCTAGCAGGGGAGAAGGTTCTCCAGTGGCCGGCAGAGGTGACCTCTGCTTATTTTAGGACTCAGCGAACACACTGAGTTCTGTACTCCTGACCTGGGCCATTAAAACCCGCTCATCATTATGCAGATTTTGTACATACGACAACCCTGTCATGCCTTTTCTCCTGCTGTGACGTGGAATAGAAGAATTGTCATACATTTCTCAGTGTGTGGCGCAGCATCAGGAAGTAATGTTTCTGCAATGGATGTCTAATCCCTTAGCTGTGGGCATTGGTAGACATCTCTGAATGTATTTTAATTTAACGAATCTTCTTAATTTAATTAACCTTGAATGAATCCTGCCTTGAAGGCCCTGTCACGTCAGAGGGCAACAGCAGCTATCCTGTGCCAAGTCAGGGCTGAACTGTTTGGAACTGCAGGGTAAGTGTCTGTGCAAGCCTGATTTAGTGTAAACATGAGTTAACAATGCAAGACAGGGGAGACGCCCTGCACACAGCAGAATACATCTTTTTTTAATAAAACACCGGATTTCAAGAGGTAAAAAAAAACACTAAATAGCTCAACAGCGCTTCTGAGTCTCTTGAAGTGGGGCTCAGGAATGAAACTGAATTGTGGCTGTCAGAGCACGAGCGAGTTGTTCCACTGCGCGTGAGACACAACCCGGACAAACTCCGCAGGGGGAAGGTGGTGCTTTTTCTTCTTGTACTTTTCAGTGTGTAATGAACTTCTTCTTGCATCTAATTATCATGGTAATCCTGGAGCACAGGACTGGTGGCAGTGTACCATACCTGCAAGTTTATCCAGGAAGTCGGACATCGCGGCCAGGTTCTGTATGATCTTGTCCAGGCTGGCGGGCTCTGTCTCGCCTCTCTCCATCTGAAACACAGCAGTGCTCCCTGTCACTGTGTCTGGGCACGAGGAGCAGCGAGCACTGCGTCAGCCTCTGCCAGTGCGCTGCTGTCTTTGCCGGCTCTCCTGCCTCCACACGCCACGCCATGAGCTTCTGTACGCAATGGAAATGAGCACGTGAAAAGATTATAACACTGGTATTTACAGCAGAAACAGAACTGCTCTCACAGCTGCATGCGGCATCTGTTGGAAAGCTGCGTCTCTTGAGAACGAGATGAGCGGAAATTTTGAGACTGCTGCAATCTGCATTTGTATTGTGTTTTCTTGGCCCCAGCTCAGAAAGCAGTTACGTTCAGAGTGACAGCTGGAACAGACTGTGTAATACTGTGCCCCCCCCCACACGCTCACAAGTCAAGCAGCACCGCACAGTTCAAACCCAGACCTGTATTCTTCTGTTTTACCCAGGCAGATCGACTGAAGGAGAAAGAGAGAGAGGGGACTGATCTTGAAATATTTATTGAGCAAACAAATAACAAAATATGCCAGTGTCTGTCTTGACCTAAATCTCCAAACAACAAAGGACCATCAACAAAGAACCGCAGTTGATATCTATGTCTCTACCGCAGAGACTGGAGGGGAGAGCGCTCTCCTGTGGCTAGACGGGAAAGGGCGGCGCGGGCGCGCAGGTGAGGTCTGGTCCTGGCACCCCGGGCGGTGGCAGCTCTCCCACGTCCTCCTGCCAGAGCACGCCCAGCGTGGCGCAGCATTTCAGAGCCTCCTCCTTCAGCCTCCTCAGACCCTCCACCGGCTCGGGGGCAGTGCGTAACACCACCATGTCATAGGTCATCCAGGTCAGCTCCACTGCGGCACGGGGGAGACACCGTCACTTGGCTCAGCGCGGCCTGCCCGTCGCTCCCCCCTGAAGCCCCCCCAGGCCAGAGCAGAGGAGTCAAGGTGACCTCTATCCACAGGTCCCTCAAAGACCCTTTTCAGCTGCTAAAGACCGTTCTTGAAAATAGAGGAGGTAATGTTCCGGGACTTATTATTCATTGTCAAAACACAAAGACATTCTGTACGGTATCGATAAGTTATCAGTCATTATTGGGCTGTAAGAGGCAGTTTGAAGTCAGCAGGAGCAGCCCAGGGCTGGGAGCAGTTCAATTCAATGTCACTGATCCAGGCCAAGATCACAGACGCAGATTAATGCTATCAGGGCCCTAAGTGCTTTTAAGCACAGTTCCTAGCCACATACTCAGAGTAAATATTTACTAAACACAGCCTGGAGATCTGTAATTGCGCAGAACGCTGCAACATGCTGATGTACCTGATACATTTTCCAAATCCTCTATCAGTTTCTCTAGCTCCTCCTGCAGCTCCTCCAGGGTCTGCTCTGTTTCCTCATGGTGCTGACTACCTGGTGGAGAGTCTCCCATCTAAGGACACACCAGCGACAGACGACAGGAACGGTCAGAATCGCAGAAAGACCTGCAGACCTGCGCTCGCAGAGACGCTGACCGGGGGCTGGGAACAGACATGCGCCCCCGTTCCAGACACGCACGAGAGGAGAAGCCGCAGTCGGAGGGGGGAAATTTGTGCTGTGCCTACTGGCCGTCTTAACAGACACAGCAACAGGGGAAGTGCCACACCTCCACATCCATTATCTAACCACTTCACCCAGTACGGGCTCACAGGGGAACCACAGGTACAAGGCAAGACACACCCTGGACAGACAGACACACGCTGACACCTGAGTATTCTCCCCAAGAAGCCCATTAACCTGCCAGCATGTCTTTGGACTGTGGGGGAAACCCTCACAAACATACAAGCTCCACAGACATATTAACCCGGGGCCCCAGTACTGTGAGCCAGCAATTCTAGGCTCTGTGCCACTGAGCCACCCTTAAAATGAAAAGCCTTCCTGATATTTTTAAACACCCAAAATGTTGAGACTGATGTCTGTTTGAAATAACTGCAAAGCTGGTTCTTCCTAGTAAGGCCGTGACAAGCTGGAGCTGCTGCTGGGAGCAATAGAAATGATGAGCCTTGGACAGGAAGCCAGTCACACGACTGAGCACAAAGCACAACTCGCGGGCGCCAGTCCAGTGAGCATTGCTCTGAGACTTGTGGCGGGAAACCTCCACACATCCCGAGTGAGCACTGCGAAACACTTGCTACAATAAAGTTTGTGAGCATTCCTGCCCGAAGCTTTGCTTACAAGGGTATTTTATGTCCTTATTCTACCTGGGTAAGGTAGATCATGTGTATCATGCTGTGAAGCTATTCAGGACTCAGTTGGTGTCCAAATATTGAAATTTAAAAAGAAAAACAGATTTTCCGCTAATGATGCAAACATGCAAGCAAAGTTAACTTAACAGTTCTTCAACATATTATTCCAGTAATAAAAGAGAAAGACGTACTTTTACTTGCAGGCAGTGCATCCATGATTCAAGAAGGAATGTCAGTCTGAGAAGCAGCAATAAAAGTTAATTTGACTGATAAAAGAGACCTGTTGTAAAAGAGAAAAGGCAACACAGCCTTTTTTCCAGTGATGGCTGCTGACCCTGCACTGCTGGTGTCCGCCAATACACATTGTTCTGAAACGTTGAGAGTGGCCAGGCTGAGCTGCTCTCACCAGAACAGGCTGGGTGACCGCATCTAGGTGCCAGCGGTGTTCTCAGAACAGAAGGGCATGGGGTGTCCTGGTCTCACCAGGCCTGCTAGGAGACAGCCCAGGAGGGTTTCTACAGTGAAGAGGCCTGAAGGCAACATCACTGTGGCGCAGTTACTGTCAGTCGGCAGAAGTAAAGCGTAGCTCTTCCCTCTGCGCTCTGCCCTGAGCCCTGAGTCGGATGCCCCAGCTAGTGTCTGTCACTCCCTGCTGTAGGACAACGCCCGCTGAATCAGGGGGTACCTCATGGAAATGGGGGTGTCACCAATCACTGACACCTCCTTGGCTCTCACTTGTAGACGTGCAGACAAGGCATGTGTTGTAGGGAATACAGACTAACTGTACATGCACACTGCTCAACACTGGAGAGAGAGTTTTCAGTAAAATAGATAAGATAAGATCACTTTAGTGGCCATATACATTTTCTTGTATTAGGAATTTGTCTTTTTGCATACCCCAGCTTGCTCTCCATGAGACAGGGAGAGAAGCTGGGGGTCAGAGCGCAGGATCAGTCATTTATACAGCGCCCCTGGAGCAGTTGGGGTTAATGGCCTTGCTCAGGAGCCCAAGGGAGTAGGATTCCTGTGCAGGCCGCAGGGTACGAACCAACAACCTTCCAGCCACAGGCGCAGATCCTGAGCCACAGAGCCACCACACCGGCCCTACAGGCACAGATCGAATTGCAATTTTAGACAGAGGTAGGTGTGCGGAGAGTACTGTGGGTCTGGCTCTGGACACATACAGGGTCACACGCTCACCATCCCCTACCTGTGGGGCCCACAGCCAGTCTGCAATGTGTGAAGCTCGATGTGACAGTTAGTTCGCCTCAGAGAGCACAGCTGATACAGGCAGTTCTGTTCAGTCGTACTGTGTGAACGGACACCACCTAGGGCAGCGGAATTCGGGACAAAGAGACGTGAAACCCTGCTGTTAATGCCCTTTAACCCGAATTATCTGGTTCAGACGTGTCTGTCAGTGGAAACCGATACTGCTCGTCACTCTGCGGAAAGTGGCGTCTTGAACGTAACCGCCCAGTCTGTCGGAGAAGGTGTCCACCCTGTCACAAACAACACCCCTGTCGGGAGAAACAACTCCACTCGATGGACGGAGAGTACTGGTGTCATAAACGCGGCGGTAGCGGCCCGTTGCGGT